GTGTAAGCAAATGTCCATATAACAAAATGTTTATTTCATGAGGCCAATATTTTGAAATGCTGTAAATGAGTACTTTAGTTAAAGAAATTTTCTAGTCAGCCTAGGCTGGTCTATCAAAATATTTCTCGAGCGCTTAATTTCTTTAAATAAAACAGGCCAATACAATATCACTTTTCTATATTATCTACGTGATTATATTAAACTTTTCTAGTCATTATAAAAGACGTTTCCAGTCTCGAAGTTAGAAAAGGTTGGTGTACGGAAACCAAACATCGAACAGTAAACTTCTCAGTTCATTTGTTCTTGGTGATTCAGCAGATTGTTAATCATGTTGTCGACCTGATTTTTCACTAAGTACTCATGCAACATAGTCTGTTGCAATATAAGATGACCAGTTCAATATATGACTTGAGCGCGAGCTATCTACTTCTGCACCGCTCGGTGCACGCACAGCCAAAGCACGGCGGCGGGCAACGAGCGCACGCTGCAGGCGGAGCTTGTCCTTCTCTTTATTTTTTTCTTCTTGAAATTAGTGTACGCGGGTACGGCCGTGGACAATGGTAATCCTCCCTGTGCATCAGCGCAGTCACTTAACCGCCAAACCTGACCGAAATTAATGATGGACGGAATCAGACGCATATAGTGTTAGTAAAAAAATATCGCAATTTAGGCTCGAAACCACTTCGTGGTTTGCCAAGAGGCTCAATACTATTGTTTCATTCGCTGTGTGCTACTAGAAAGATTCATATCGCAAAATTAATCGAAAGTGGCATGAAACAGCATCACAACCGCGTATACGTTGAAACCGAAACCAACCAAATTGAAGCAACCTCATGGCGCCGAGTGCGTCAGCGCCCTCTACCCGCCGGTCAGGCAACTACTGAAATGAAAAGGTCTATAGACAAGACAGACCGGAAACGAGCTACCAGCATACGATAGTCAAACTCCAACAAAAAGGATTAGTTTCTTCCCAAGCTGGACGACATTTACCGGGCATCTTTAGAGCCGCGAAGCTCAAAATCACGCGTACTCATACGATTTTTTTTTCTCTCGTGTTTGTGATTTTTATGATGTCCTGCAAGCAAGAAAAAAATATATATGGTGAAGTCACTCCGAGGGGGTACCGATAACTGCGAGCCACGAACATGAAGGATTCGCTAACATCCGTCAGGAGCGTGAACGGTAAATCGTCACGCAAACATATTCTCACAAGCTGCAAATATTTATTTGGCTTAGCAAGTAGAATACTAGTATACTAACGACATGTGATTATTGTACACAAGATACCATTTCTCGGTTCTTCAAAACCATTTCCCTAGTCAGAACGGTCGCGCTACGGGCCGCGGCTAGCCGTGCCCTCGATACACTACGGAGCTGCGTTGTGTCGTCTGCTACTGTACCGCCAACAGGAGAGCGATAGCTCTGTGTGCTCCACAGATGCGTGTTGCGGTATAACTCTGTACGCCTGTCCTAGAGGAACACAAAAAGATAGGCTCTGTGACCCTCTCCTAAGCTAACAAAAACAAACAGAAGTATACTCGTTTGGACTGAAAGGTTTACAAAATAGTGACCAGACATTGGAAAAGCATATGTCACAGAACTTGGTTTATGAAGTGGCATCATTGTTTCGAGCAAGAAATCACCTGCTCACCACTGGGACGATGAAATCGTCACTATTTATTGCGTCAGGTATATTTGCGCTCATGAAGAAAAATCTGAACACATCCTTCTCCCAAAGTCCTATGTCGAATAATAAACACTTTTTTAAACATCTATGCACAAATAACTCATTTTTTTCTACACTTGTATATACACGTTAATTAAACGACGTCAAACCGCATTTTTGATTAGATCTTGATGTCTACACCAACTACATTCATATTTTATAGGGCTTTATTGAACGATAACTTCAACTATAGTTAATGGAACACGATGGCTCGATCTCAACAAAAACCTCAACGTGCGAAGCTTCCACAGACGGTCGCTTGAAAGTATTCTCAATGTGAGACTTCAGAAGCTTTCGCTTGCCATAGGGAGCTTGCTTTCGATACAGCACTGCACGGGCCCGGAAAGCGCGGAGCGCGCTGCTGTGGGGAGAGGTTGACTTACAAGATGACGTGTTACGTGGTCACGTAAGATGGCGTCATTTCGTGCAGCGTGATCACGTAAGACGACGTCATTTCGTGTAACGAGATCATGTAAGATGACGTGTTTGTGTCACGTGATCACGTAAGATGACGTCAGTTTGTGTGAACTGACGTCATCTTACGACAACGCCAACAACATGAGTGCCGTCCGGAACCATTGACCTTAGAAACGCGCCTCTTCGCTTGAAGAGCTGATATGCGTTGATTGTTATTTGTTTCTTTTGCCTACTACAGACCATTCAAAAACTCGCCTTCTGGGTGCCACCAACTTCGTCTACTGGGCTGTGAAGCGCGTTCGAGCGTGCGCAATACCTCTCTAGGCCGAAAGATTGTACACTGAGCATGCATTCACAGCTCAATGACTTAGGCATTTTTCGTCAGGATAGATGCTCCCACGAGAAGAGCGTAATGGATATCTGAATAGAATTGGAAATTTGAAACGTTCTTGTCCAATCGCATTTTTCTTTGGTTATCAACGCTTTGTAGCGTCATCACAAGGCGTTCAACTCGTAATACACTGGTGATTAAAAAATAAGCACCAAAAAACATGCACCGATTTTCGCTCAAAAATAAACACCGGAAAAAACATACCGTAATCATTACCCATGTCACCTTTTTGGGTGATATGTGAATTTCCAGAAGAACAGCGAGTTATCACCCTCCCCTAGGAATACCCTGACTACAGAGCAGGCGACCCGTTTTTCCCCGCGTTAGATTGCGATGACCACGAACCGTACGCAGGTCACAGGACGTCCGTGAAAAATAAAAAGGAGGCAAACAACGATCTACTCTGTGCACGCTTCATCCCCGATTTCCACGACCCCAAGGCCGAAGGACGTTTGTGTGAAGGATAACAATAAAATAAAACTTTGCGTCAAAAAAAAAAAGAAAAAAAAAGCCCGTTTTTAAAAGCAAAAAAAAAGTAGAAACAAGCACAACGCGTTGACGGACCGCGAGGTTGTGGAACACCTCGCGGTCCGCTTGCCACAGGACGGTTGTCTTCGACCCATAGCTCCAAGGTGAATTTGCCACTTGCGAAAACACGGAGACCTACCCAGCGAGAACCAGGAAAGCAAGAGACGCACACTGACGCCTCGGCGTGCAGAATGAAACAGGATACGGGCGCGGAATACGGCCGCGGAAGAACACCTCGCACAGTGCCGATCCGGCCGATCTCCGAACGGACGATTTCGCATTTCGTGGACAGCGAGCGCCACCGCACGGGAGAGAGAGGTACCTTAAAAACGACGAAAACAAGCACCGACACCTTGGTTCTTTATATTTGCTGTAGTTACGGAACAAATCGACTTACATGAATAATTTGAATATTATTCGATTCCGTAATAAATTTAGAAGACATTAAGCGCAATACTTCTTATGTTTGAATTTAGATAATTTTGTAAATTCGCTCCGAACGCAAAAGGGCCGAATTAGCCGATTTTGACCATTTTCATGATTTTTTAAAGAGTATAATTAAATTTATGATGAAACATTTGTTGCGCTTAGTGTCTCGATAATGACTTAGTGTCTTTAAAGCCGAAATTTTCAAGAAGATCCGCGCAGCCGTTATTATGTGAGAATTTTTTTAATTTGGTGAAAAACCTCATGTATTCTCTATGGGGCTCTGAGGTGCGCCCCCTCTTAAGCGAACCTTTATCTCGAGGTCTTTTGAAGTTTGTTAAGGGGGTACTTTACTGTGTATTGTGCTTTGTTTGTCACCTGTCAGCTTGAAGTTGAATCCGAAGCAATTTGTATGTGTAATCGACGGCTGCAGAAAATCTTTGAGACTTAGGGTTTTTCGCTCGGCACGGCCGTGCTAGTAGCCGATCCGGCGTTTCCTCGGTACAACTCACAAGAGGGATGTGCTCCAAGGTTTTGTTTTGTAGCTGTGCTCGGTGGCTGGATTCCTGCAGTTCTGCTAGTTTGATCTCGCGTGGAGTTTAAAATTTGGTATGTGCGCAGCACACACCTCACAGTTTGTCACCGACGCGCTTATTGGACTTCTCCATGATGTGGAGGAGCATCCAAGTTAGCTCAATGAACTCAGAAATGTTTTCTCAATCTTATATAGGTTGACATTCTTTGGTCACGATTGTAGATCGTTACCGTATTTTCGGTAATGGCACCAAAGAAAAAAGTTGACCTGCATTTGAATAAATGTGGTACTCCTTCACGCCCGTGAAAGTCCACGTCATGGTGGAGAAAGAGGGCGGTGTCTGAATGCCTAGGCATGAAATGAGTGTTTGCAGCCCCCAAAAGCATCATCAGTTGTTTGATTTTCGCGGATCATACATTTCCTCTTAATTCAGGTCCCCTGAAAACATTGATATTTTTCTCTCTTGGATCACACAGTTTGTTGTTTCAACCAAAAGCCTAAATCTCTCAGGATGTCGTTGAACTCTTATATCGGTGTGCATTGGACTGCTCGATTTTTCCGGGGCAGTCATGCCTTCAGTATGCAGGCTTTCACATCATAGGGTAAATGTATATTATGTTGTGGGATGTCCTCAGTAAAGGACTTTTGCTGAGTTGTGCCACGGAGTAGATTTTGTAATAGGGCCCTTTTTACTGCTTTGTTTTATAATGTGGGTTGTGCTAAGTGCTTACACTCCGTTCACCCTTCAGCTGACAGACGAGCGCATAGCTTCCACTGCACTGTCAGCTTAGGGGTGAATGGAGTATAGTTGAAGGCACAAATTGAGCTAAATCTTGCTTGAGAAAACTTTTCACGACTCAAGTGGTACCACTGTTAGACTCTCAAATAATTCTAAAATCGGATGTTTCTATATAAGGTAGGCCGTAACGAGCGGATATGCACGATGGCTTGGCCTCTGATGCTCTGGCACCTTGCAGGTGTGACGTGCTGGTACAGTCAAGACAAGGACGAGCTCATACCAGTGCTCTCCAAGAACACCCTGGAAAGGTGTACCTGGTGTCAGAGGTGGGACTTCCTTTTGCACCGTCGTTCTTGTTATAGCGGCAGCCATTATTGGTGAGGTTTCGCAGCAGATCCTGTGCCATGTAAATCGTGACAGGACGTCACATGTCACGTGACATCATGGGGTCACATGAACACATGACAAGGTGTCTGGGTGGCACATGACATCATGTGCAATTGTGACATGGCATCCGTATTTTCCAAACAATAGTCTGCAACAAATGTATAGTCTCCAGAACGCAACAAATCTATAATCTGCAAAAAAAATTTTGGCCGAGAAAAAAGATTTTTTTTTTTTTGGATAGTCCACACCTAGCGCATAGTCCACACCTGGTGAATAGTTTGAATGCAAGATTTCTCATGCACAGCATATTTAGAAAAATACCTTCTTTATTAACGTACAAAGAAATGGGTATCGTGCAATAATGACCATTAACATAATCTGTCGAGTCTCGTAACGAACAATCTTGAAAAAGCAAATCCTCGTATAGCTGCATAAAATTTTAACTCTCAAACATGTACAGTCTGCAGGCTGTAGACCATAAAATATTAGTCTGTGCGCACCAGAGGGGGCCACATCTCCAATGTCGACGGAATTCATTTGCAAAACACTAAGGAACCGGCAATTTTTTTATTTGTTTTTGCCCAACCAAGAAATTTTAAATGGGTGTTCCTTCCACTTGGCAGGATGAGATGTGAAGATCACGTAAATACAAACAGGCAATGCTGAAAGAAAAAAAAAAAAAAAAGACCACTAAATCTTTGAAGCCAATTTCAATTCTGTCATATCTCCATTTGTGATGCAGCGTAAGTTTTCTCTAGTGTTTTGCTTTGATCTGGAGAACTTCGTTGTAACTTTTCTCTGTGATAGTTTGCCTTATTAGATGTAGGGACTCCCTGAGCAAACGTTGGACTGGTGGGCAGTGTTTCCTTAGGAGTCTGTCTTTCGCCGGTGGGGGAATTTATATGTATTTTGTTTCTCCTGTTAGAAACCGAACAATCAATTGGCAGTTCACCTTCACAAGGTATTTTAAGAGTAGTTGTAATGCAAGTTCACTATTTGAGAGCAGGATTTACTCGTTCAAGTGCGATAATGTTTGTAACCTAATTACCCTTCGTTCCAGCTTAGTTGACTGTAACTGTGTATCATATTTTCCGGATTGTAGTCTGCAAAGATTTTTTTTATATTGTCTGCAATCGGTGCCAGTGGCGTCACGAGGGTCAGCGGCACTCGGGGCGGTAGCCTGCCGCAACACCCCCCCCCCCCCCCCCCCCTCCCTCCGTCGCTCTCGCGTGACCCGCCGCGACTCCGCCCCTCCCACTCTCGTAGCTCGCCGCGACACCTTCCTGATTGCGGTCCACTGTGAACGGTCACAGTGGACCGCAATCACAGCGGTCCACTGTGACCGTTGTGATTGCAGGCCCAACTCTGAAAAGTGCAGCCCCATCTTTTGTGACACCTGTGTCATGGGCCATTACAAAACAAAAACGGCAAGAGAAATTCATGAAGCCTTCCTGATTAGGTCCCACCACGACAATACTTGTATAACCGCTCCCTCTTTGTCCTTGACTGATAAAGAATTCTACTATTTGAAGAACCAATGACGCTGGCATTTGAGGGGGGTGTGTTTTTAGACCATATCTTTGGTGTTTTGCCAAGTGTGCCTGCTTTTATATTTTATATTTTTTTTAAATTCTGTCATCCAAATAAACAATTCAGTTAAGGGAGGAGGTGGGGAATAAATATGAACTTTCTTATTTCTAGAGATATCTGAACGAAATTTACAGGGTGTGTTTATAGCACAGACATAAGAGTAACTGCAAAGTTTCATGGAGCTGTGCATATTATTTCTCAAGTTACAAATATTTATCAAAATCGTCCATATGCATTCCTTATCCCAGGTCTGGAGAATTTGAAAAAGGTAGTAGCGGCGTAAAATTTGTTATGATTACCCCTGGATACATTCCTCAGGGCATAACAGAGCCCTTTTATTAAATTTCTTTGTTGAAAAATTTTAACGCAACTTTGAATTTTTGTGTAGTCATGAAACCCACATTCACCAAATTTAATTTTTTTATTATAAATTTTTAGCGCAGTTTTCTAAAAAAAGGGCTCTGTTATGCCCTCACAAAGTTATTAGAGAACAGAATAAAAAAGACAGCACAAAAATCCATTCATCAGTTCCTGAGATATCGCTGGGACAAGCAGCCACGACAGTGAAAAAATCCATTCTGAGAAAACAGCACTTGAAAGTTGCACCCAGATTTTCAGCTTTAGAATGACCCTGCAGAATAGTCAGAAGTGTTCTTGTGCACTTTCTTCTTGTTCCGCCTTTCCAAATTCTCTTGATGTCGTTTGCTGGCCTTGTGCAGACGTAGGGCATCTTTCCCGGCAGCTCGTTGGAGGGCTAGATGGGTCGGCTGAAGTCCCACTGCAACCGATATTTCTGCAGTTGCCTTGTAGCAGCCGGCGTTGAACCTAAACACCGCTTCATGCAGTGCAATTTGCTGGCATAGCTCCAAGTTCGGCTTGAGCAATATCACAATGTCTAGCTTCTGCTTCGATCTCCTCACGTGTCAGGAAATGCGTCCGCAGATGGGTGCTAGAAGACGCGCTCCTACTTGTCGCGGCAGGCGGAAGACGGGCGCTGGGACCCGCGATCTCGGGAGGAACCACAACGGTCGGCATGCTCGGCACTCCAGGCGTGAGCGGGGCGATGCGTTCTTCCTCGACGACAGCCGATGGCACAGAAAATCCATCACTGGAGGTGTTGACGCGATCATCATTGACGGCACGCCGTGCAGAAACTTCCTAGTTCGCCATCCGCACTAACTTCATGGACCGCTTCCGCGCGCCAAACGCGCGCACCGTCTTGTACTTCGAACCCCGCATCGTGTGCGACCACGAAACAGACGGGCACGCTACACGAAACTACTCAAAGAAAGTTCGGAAAACGATCGTAAAGATGGCGAAAAACGAAGTGGAACTGACTAAAAGAGCGCGTGCAAGCAGACCACTACCAAAAGCAGACGACGCGAGCGGCAACAGCAGGAGAAACGGAGGAGGAGAGCGCTCCGCGCGCGGAGAAATCGCGTCCCAGCCAATAGCAGTCGCGCGCTCCCCCGCACGCTCCTCGAGCGCGCGCTCTGTCCAATCGCGTTCTTGCGATTGCGACATGGAAGAACGGCGACAGTGCCGTAACCACGCGGCCGACGCCATTTTGGGAGCTGGCAAAAAAAAGAGAAAGAATTCACGTTCAAAACAAGACTAAGATGGCGGCCGTCGGTCCAACGCTTTGAAAATGGCGAGCGCGCGAAGTTGGGGTTGATTTTGACGTTTGACCGTCACTTGGATGCTATTCAGGCCTCGTAAATAATTGTTTTTAAATATTTCCCCATTGTATTTGGTGCTGATAATTACAGAGAAGGTAGTTTATGAGATATACAACCGAAAAATAAGGTTTTCTAAAAATCGACTTTTTCGCGATTTTCCGGTTTTCAAAGCCCGCGTCCCCCCTTAAAAGTTACGTCGCGTCCTGTCTAGTTCTCCCTTCGTTTCTTGTCCCTGTTGTTTTGGCGTATTACACCATGATAAAAATTTCAACCTGTGGATAGTGAAAACATGGAGGAGAGGCCAAACGAGAGTCCGTGGCCGTTACGCTTAAATCCTAAATGTGTTCTGTCGGCGTGGCGACGTCAAAACTATGTTTTCAATCATAGTGAAAGTGACACTATTCAAGATGGTGGCACCCTTGTGAAGAGGTCTATAGTCCACACCTGGGTGCTGTTCGGGCTTAACAGAATTTGTATAAATAAACCAGTGAGCGAGGGCATTGAAAGTTTACACAGAGGTGTCTTGATGTAATGCATTATCATGATCAAATTTTATGAGTGGGTTTCATAAAAAGACTAAGCCAAAAAATTAGTTTTTAGGGGCGAAACTCCTTAGGGGCTAGCCATGTCCGTCCGCCGTCGGGAGCACGTGCTCCTGCTCGTGAGATCACGTGCTCACAAGCTCGTGTAGGGCAAAAAAAAAAAAAAAAAACGCATCTCCACGTGGTGAATGATGTTGATTGGGGCGAAGCTCTGGTGGTGCTTGTCTGCGTAGATGGTGAGCCGCAGCATGCCGAGCCTTTCGTTCGTTTTCATCCATGTCACGCTGCGGTCAAATGCTCAAATGCGTATATAACCACGTTCCATACCACACATTCTCTTTCTGACATGGATGACAACGAACGAAAGGCTCGGCATGCTGCGGCTCACCGTCTATGCAGACAAGCACCACCAGAGCTTCGCCCCAATCAACATCATTCACCACGTGGAGATGCGGTTGTTTTTTTCCTATGAAGGGGGAGGGGGAGGGGAGTGGGGGGAGGAGTATGGTAAAAGCCATCTTGTTGTGAAGCTGCTGCTGGATCTGCTTTAGGATGTTCATATCAAAGAAGCTTTCACGTTTTTGCTTTACGTAGCACCATCTGAGCAGCAGCATCAACCAGAGAGTTTTTACCATTTTCTTTTCTGCGCATGCATAAGAAAGCAGGATTTTTTAGGCTCAGTTTTCTTTTTTTCCTAGAGCCTCACACTTATACAATATTTGAATATGATAAATGGACCACCTTAAGACACCTTTGTGAAAAGTTTCATTGCACTCGGATCATTGGTTTATTTATGCTCATTTTTTTATGTCCAATTAGCGCTCGGAAACACTATAGATTTTCCGCACCTCATCAAATTTCTACTCATAAACACGTATTCACCCTTTAGTATTTGGCAACAAACTCCGTGGTGCCATCTATTGGGCAGCCCCGGCACACTTCCGGTTCACATATATTTTCTCGTTTTTTACTCAATTCTTTGATGATAGGAGCGAATTAAGTCTGACAGTGCTATGTGGCCATTTCCGGAAGACACCGCATATATTTGATTTTGGAAATACTGCGAAACCCGCCGTCTAGTTCAGAACTGGAAATGGTTGGGGCTATTCGCTCATTGGCACCACCGCGTTTCAACTTACGGGACAGAGAGCAAAAAGTGTGCGGACTATGGTCCGGAAGACACGGTAATTTTGTATCGCACTTCGAGCAAGTGGCGTTTTGCCGCCCTGCCGGTCGTCCGCCGTGAAGCGTGTGGTCACGTGCGTGTGTTGTGCGACAGCGTCCAGGTCCGCCACTTGCGAGGGGACGGGTCCCTGGAGCTGCGGAACGGGGACCGCACCCGCACCCCTTCCAACTCCAACTACTGCAGCTGCGGGTTCAAGCACTTCTGGGACGGCAAAGAGTACGACACCCTCCCCCAGCAGTGAGTGGGCCCTGGGGGCACGGTGCACTTCGACGCGGGACGGTCTATGTAGCCTACCGTTTCCGAGTATTGCTCTGCGTTTTCGGTATGCAGGGCGTTTCTCGAAGCGGAGGCCAAATTGTTTTTGCGAAAAGCATGCGTTGTGCATGAGAAAAGTCTGTCGCGTCAGTCTTTGCCAAAGGGTCGACTTGGGAAAATTAGTAACGTTCAGTATGAATAGTTTGTTAATTACTTTCTAGTGACGAACGTTTTAATGAGCAAACTTCAAGGCATGGTTTCAGTTGGAAACTTGAGGAGCATCATCAAAAACCTCTAAATCAACTTATTTTGTAAAGATATAAGGCACATAGAACATTTCACGGCGTTCCACAAAAAAAAACGATAGGTTTGAACGTATTTCTAGGTTTCGGTTTCCTACCGGAGCGCATCTTTGTGCCGGTAGTTCAATGCCCCCTCGTGACCGAGGTTCACGGCCGTCGCCTTGCCCCCCTCGTAGGAAGGGATGGAGGGTGGCCCATGCGAGTTGTGCCACACTCTATCCGCTTTTAGTTGCGGCTCTTTGCACCTCCCGAGTGTGCCCTTTGGATATCACGTTTACGTCCAGGGTGACGGTGTCTCTCGAATGGAACCAGAAGGTGGTCAAGGACACGGTGGCCTGGTTTCAGCACGAGTGCGACCCCTCGCTCAACAGCAACGTCTACACGGTGGCCTCGGAGATCGTCAACAAGCACTTCCCGGGTGAGCACTCTGCAACGGGTAGAATTCACCGGCGGCCATAATTGAGTCCATCACTGCTGAGCGCGAACTATCAATAAGCTTCCACAACGCTTCCACGACGTGCATTGCACAGCATCAAGATTGTAGTTTTTCTGAAAAGATAAGCGGGGGCTTGTTCTGAGTATGCGTTGTAAACACCGCACTCAAATATGGCGTTCAGTGTATACTACGTATAGGTTCCTTGCTTTCTGGGGACCGTCCGATTATTGAATCACCGCTTAGCGATAGTCGAATCGACACTTGCCTTGATTGGCTGCTTGTTGACTGGTGGCCGGTTGATTCACCAACCGTTGATCGTCGAATCTGTGCTTGCCTTACCGTTGACTGGTTGGTTTTAATGCAGATTGTGTCATGGCACTGGGTTTCGTGACAAAAGCGACCCGCTTGACTCAACTGACACACAGATCGAGGTGTTGCGTGAACCCTGAAGTCGTGTGACTGTGACGTCTGTGTCATCCGACGTCGCGGTGTAATGTGAAATCCGTGTCGCTTCACGTCGTGACATTGCGTGACATGACACATGCACACACATACACAGAGTGGGCACAGCTCATCCACTATACACTCTGTGCATCTCCAAGTTTATCAGATATGACCGAGACAAGCTCGAGTTTTATTGATTGTCAGTCATTGAATTGACGCCTGCCTAACTGTCGATTAATTGGCTTTTATTAATGTTGTTCTGGCGTGTTATTACATCTTTGCTATGTGCAGACTGACTATTGGAAACTGTAAGCAATCTATGACTCGCAGATATACAATTTTTTTTTCCAATTCCAGAAATCTGAAATGTTGCCAAAAAGGTTACCATGCTGATCAACATGCTCATTGTTAGCATGCTTATTAGCATTGTACCGTGTAGTGCGTTTTTCGTTTTCTGGTGACAGGTCGAGTGTTGATGTTGGTGTTTTGTCGTGCTTGGTACGTCCTTCCTATACACCGATTGATTATTGATCACTGTAAACAACCTCCAACTTTTGTCTATTGAATTCTTTCAAACTTCTGGAGTCTAAAACAATAGCAAAGCATTTACTGCTCTGTTCCGTATATTGATTGTTGGCATACTAATGAGCAAGCGTGGAAATGATTAGTATGGGAGGTGATCATAATTCGGAGCCACAAACTGGTCTATTCCTGATGTTTGAAATGTCATTTCCACGAAACATTTCAGAAGGCTTCCAATTGCCAAAATACTTAACCCACTAATGTACCATCGTTTGCAGTAGTCTAGAGCGAGGGTCCCCAAACTCTTTGGTCTCGAGGAATGCCCATCTATCTTGATTGATAGCTGAGGAACCCCTCCCAGTCTCAGCATAGATGCATTGAAGCAGCGTATAAGATTACAGCTATTGTAAGCGAGAATCCAGTTAAAAGGGAATGTCTGACACATAGATGTGCAGCAAATAGGTGACTAAGATCTGCTGAGGACCGGTTACGCGACCCCAGCCACTTCCGCTGTTGGGTTTAAAGAGAAACAGGCCGCCATGTCCGAGAGGCTTAGCGTTAGACGCTGCCGTGTCTGAAGACCGCACCGATCCCGCTGTGCTGTGCAGCGAGTATGGAAGGCGCTCGGCGCATGACGGGAGACTTTTTCAGCGAAAACCGGGGTTCGCATTGAAGGCTGCCATCTTTTGTGCGGGTATGCGTATCCCGGATGTCGCAGATACGATTCAAAGAATTGGAGCGCTGAATAACGACCAGCCAAGAATGTACCATAAGTGAAATGAATCGCCTTCGTGTACTTTAGAAGCTGCATACAAAGTTACGTCTGGGAAAGGTCGTGGTAAGCGAGAAATTAAGAAAGTGACGGGCATGGCTTACGTCTGCGTAGCGGAATCGGCTAAAATTTCAAGTAATTTCTCCCCATGGAGCGGGTGACGTTACCTCAAAATCCCTCTTGTAACTAATATAGCTGCCGAGAGAGTGGGCCCACTACGGTTCTGCTCCGAGGCGGGGATCCCAGAAGTTCCGACGAACTTGTCGACGCTCTTTGCTCGTCAATGCAGGAGTCTTCGGAAGTGAGCGTCTGCTGCAGCAGGTGGTTGATCAGATCCTGGAGCAGACGCGTCTGCCGGACTCGATGGAGGAGGACCGCCCGGAGGAGGAGGCGGAGGGCGTCCCGGACTCGGCAGAGTCGATGCCCGCCTGCAAGTTCATCATCAAGGGATACAAGGTGATGGGGAGTCCCTGCCCTTTGCCTATGTAAAGAGAAGATGAGGGAGAGGAGGAGACGGAAGCGTACGGGGCTCTAATAGACAGTTTTGAAGATTCAGTGACACCTGGTGGCTCGAAAGGCAGTTTTTACTTTCGACTAACTGATAGCGGTCACGAGACTGTATTTCATCAGGTATTGTCAATTTCGCACGTCAATGTCAGATGAGAATGGGTTCTGCGATCGTTTCATAATTCTTTTTCGATTTGTCTTCGTTTCGATGGTGTGAATGTAGGAACTGACCAGAACAAAGCGGCAACCCATGAGCCCCTCAATTAAATTCTCATCATTAAAAGGATTTAGAGCCAAGCTTGTGCGAGAGATTGATTGAATTGCATTCTAAAATAAACGCTTACGCAGCCGTTGTATCTAAGTCGTGTAGTCTGTTGTACTGATGTCTCAAATGTAGAGGCTTCATATATTCTCTGCTTGGTAATAAGGTACAGCCCGTTTATAACAAACGCTGCGGGAATCTAAAATCGATTCGCTATATTCGTTTTTCATTACAGTCGAATCTCGTTATTGCGAACGCCTCCACGACATCGCCGCACGAGTAGGTGGATCTTCCCTTCTAGTATGTGCTGGGTTATCACAGCGACACACAATGAAAATTCACAGTCAAGCATAGCGCTTTTACGCGGAACGATGAGCTTCCACCACGCCGTCTACGTCGACGATCACCATTGATGCCATGTTTGCGGATAGAAGCAGCCAGCCCGCGACCGGCATGCAACGCACGCGAACACTTCTCCTTGACCTGCGATTGGTCTGTCGTTGCGGTTGTTTCCAACATGTTCCAACGCTGCGGAGAGACCACGACCGGCTGGGAGAGACGCACGCACGTGAACGACACCCGCGTGCGTCCCTCCGTCGCTATGGCAACTGAAGCTTCTCTCTTCGCTTCTCCCTGCTTCTTTAAGCAACCTCTTTGCTCCACGAGTGCCACATGCGGCTAGCGCCGTTATCTAATGTCTCACAGGGAAGTGTGCTCGCTGCGCTGGTTGGTCGGCGCGGTCGGCGGGCTGTTCCAGAAACCGCACTATATCCGGTATTTCCCTTCGCGCGCCTGCATTTTAAGCGGTATGTAATTACATGGAGTTCTATGGGAGGCGAACCGGTGGTTTAAAAAAGCCGCGTTATACCTGTTCCTGCACTATAAGCGGTTACGTTGTAAGTGGTCTATACTGTACACCGATACGTGCCCACATCGCAAGACTAGAGGACTAGGTAATATAACAAGATCGGGACGATTACAGTATCCTGACCCACCATCTTGTCTACGCTGGGGGGCTGGGGCCTGGAGGACCGGAAGACGCTGAATGGAAACGCCGAAAAACCCTAAGTGACATGCCCAGCTGTGCACGTGTCATGCATACTGCGGAGAAGGCGAACTTGCCAAGCAACAAGAGTTTCTCCCTCACTCGGACAAAGCGTGGCGGGCGCATTAGGTGCATTATCGGTATGCGGCTGTTTCTTTTACGTGCTAAGGGCTAGTTTCCCCAGGGTCGAGTCTACCGCAAAGAAATGTCGACACAAAATTCTGGACAGCTACTGCCATCTATGAGCAACGGAGGCAACCAGACAATCGGCTTGCCGGCCTTGTTCATAGATAGCGACAACCTTTGCAGCCTTTCCACTCTGGTTTTTACCGGAGTGGAAAGGCTGAATTTTTTTAGGCGTCGTCCTAGATGTCGTCCTTGAGGCCATCCTAAACGTCATCCTTGAGGTCGTCCTTGATGATGCCCGAGAGGTTGTTCTCAAGGTCGTCTTTGAAGTTGTCTTTGAGGTCGTCCTAGACGTTGTTCCTGAGGTCGTCCTTGATGTTGTCCGGGAGGTTGTCCTAGAGGTCGTCCTAGAGGTCGTCCTAGAAGTCATTCTTGAGGTCGTCCTTGAGTTCGTCCTAGACGTGTTTTTAAAAATTGTCCAAGAAGTCGTTTTTGAGGTCGTCCTAGAAATCGTCCCTGAGGTTGTCCTTGAGATTGTCTAGATGTCGTCCCTGAGGTCGTCCCCTAGGCGTCGTCCTCGAGGGCATCTAAAAAGTTGTCCTTGAGGTCGTCCTAGACATCATCCTTGAGGTCGTCTTAGACGTCGTCCTTAGGCATCGTCCTTGAGGTCGTCTGACCATAGTACAGCTTCGCTGGTCTTCCTTCTTCACCAGAGTGAAAAGGATGAAAGTTTTTTTTTTGTGCTTAGTTTATTGAAATATAGCATAAATAGCTTTTTCTGCATTTCATCCAAGTACTTTTTTTTCATTTCTTTTTTTTTTTTTCGTTGTGTTTGTGGCGTGCCTCTTAGGGCTTTTCGTTAAAAGCGGGCTCATATCGCATTGCAGGTATACAAATAGTAACAGTAAATTCAAATTTGTTCATTATATCCTTCATTTCCAGGTTCGTTATGAGTGGGCTGTATTGTATCATCAACTTCTTCCTTCATCAGCCTGAAGAAGGCCACCATTAGTTTGCCACAGACGCCATGCATTCCCAAGTGAAAATTAAACGTGGTTTTACAAGTGGTCCCACTTATTCTAAGTGGTCCCTCTTTACATCTAAAGCGCGGTCCAAACCGACACGTATTCTGGATCCGTATGCCAGAACCCGACGAACCTTCTTCCGGTATCGACAGGCACCTTGCCTACGCGCTCGGCTCGACGAAGCGCGTGTACGTAGGACAGTCGTCGGCGGAGCAGGCGAATTCTCATGTTATCGCACCAAAACCACTGCGCACAAAAGCGAATACCGACACAAATTTGTGACAGGAGAGACGCGACTCAGCGCAGAAAAATTGCTGCAAGAAGCCGGCAGCAATGCACCCGGCCAACCCCGTGCGCCCATGCTCGGTGACATGCGCCGGCGTTCCGAAATCGGAGACTGTGCAAACGGTGTTCGTTGGTTCGTTTGTCAAGCATGCACAGAGCACTCGCTCAGTGGCAGGAAGAAAGCGCGCTCCGTGATGGGACACTCCCTCAATGCGAACGCCGATGTCACAATACAGGTATCAATGTCACAGTACGGGACACGTAAAAGTTGAGATATTTTAACTCCAAATACTGGTGCTAAAACCCATAAAAAGGGAGTGGTGACGTCAGAACCGGAAGCGGGCTTTCATATGGGTTCCGGCATACAAATACGGAATACGCATCAGATTGGAACATGCTTAACTGGTCCCACTTTACCTCTAAGTGGTCCCAGGTTATTTCCAAATGGTCCAACTTTGGTACAGATGTTGAGATGATAGTTGTGATCAAAGTTTCCAGACTAAATTTTGAAACGGGTCTATTGGAGGGATAGTGGGTAGGTGCAGAGGCTGGCTGCCCATGTCTCTACCCGTCGTCTCCCTCCAACCAGAGCGAGGAAGAGCGTCGTCTACTCCTCTCACAAGGTCCTGCGTTCGAATGCCAAAACGCCGAAGCAGCAGACGACTTTCTTCCTCGCTGTGATTAAAGGGAGACGGCGGTTAGAGACACGGGCAGCCAGCCTTTGCGCTTACCCCCTGTCCTTCTAGTCGGAGCTCGGTGCTCTGATGCCACTGCACGCTTTCATCTCTTCTTCTCTCTTAGTTTTTCACCGTATGAGATTATCACCGCCTGCAAAGGATCTTGAGTAGGGCTCTTTGTTGTCAGTATATACCGACAAACTTCGAGAAGTGATTCTCGAGCCGGTTTCATCAAAATCGGGAAAAAACAAAAAACCCAGAATCGGACCTGTCATCATCGTCATATCTTTAATTGTTAATTAAAGGTGGCCAAACCTTGGTTGTCGTTTATTTCTCTCGAATGTGGTTCAACGTTTCAATAGACACGGCTGAACTAGGAACCCGAATTGTAGGCTGCCAAAGACGGAGGCTTATTGCGGAGAAGGCGCCGTGTAACCGAGCTTTCGGTGTCACGTCAAAAGTTCCCCTGGTGGTTGAACTTAATCCTCCGTCCTCCGCTGGGGCGTGCCAGATGCCCGTCGTAGGTTTGGCACGTAAAACCCCCAAATATGACTTAGGCTGCCAAAAAAAACATAACTGAGATAGTGCATGTTTTTGGAAGTTTAAAAAGTTTCACTTTAAATGGAAAAAAACTCGTTAAAACAAAACACAAAAAAACCTTCAGTTACAGGAATTAAGCTTTCTGACAGGGTTCCTCAGGAGTTGTGCAGGCTGATAAAACTGCTTTTTAAAACGTAAGCTTTAAAAGAAAAACTTCCAGCCCTTCCATATTGGACAAAACCTCGGGGTTTTGTCCAATATGTTAAACCTTCACCAGCTTGTTTGCGCCCTAACTTTTTGTTCTGGCTTTCCACTCTGGTGAAGAAGGAAGAACAGCGGAGCTGTAGCTTCTGTTCTCGGCGGTGGCCTTCCAGGCGAGCGATCTGCTCTTCTTTCGCAAGGGAATCTGAAGCGCTCACGCAGTGGAACTTTAGGCGATAGCGGCTTTGCTGCGGTTGCGGAACCATTCGTGCCACTGCGCACATCGCCTCTCGTTCCGCTCCCGCTCTTCTTCCTCTGAAGAAAGGTTGCCGCCATCTATGAGCAACGGCGGCAACCAGTCGTCTGGTTTACGCCGTTGCTCATAGATGGCGGTAGCTGTCCAGAGTTTGGTGCTATATTTTTGTTGCTGGTGGACACGATCCTGGGGAAACTAGCCCTTAAAGGGCAACTCCGCTCAATTCCGAAAAATTTAGGCTTGCATGTGATTCCATTTCATAAAGCACTACTAAACAGCTCTACGTCCTCGGGATTTGCGAAGTGTGGAATATTATTTGTGTAATCTTAATTTAAACATCAGCTGATACCAAAACCGAAACTTCGGTTGCGTCAAGCAACATTGGTCTCGTGTAGTCAGAGTCATGGCCACGTCACGTCGAACCACGTGGTTTTGTGGCGTTTGTGGGGGCGAGGGACAGGACACGCGACACGGACAGGTCGCTTCGCATGGCGTGGACGGTGATGGCCCGGGGGAGAAGACGATAGTGGAGAGGGGGAGCGGAGAAACAGACCGATAAGCGTGCAGGGCAGCGCAAACTAGCGCATCCGTGTTACGGTGATCACGTGGACGCCGTTCAGCCAACACCGGGAGGAGAAACTGATGACGTGATCGTTCAGTTTCGCTCTGAGAAGTAAAAACAAACAAAACGTGAAAATGACGTAGTCATGCCTCTGACGTAGTGGCTCAACGTTGGCCGCTCCAGCTCCATCGCATTGACTCCGCTGACGATTGCGCCTCACGTTGCACGCTGGAGTTGGCAGATTTCGGCGACTTGGCTCACTTGAAGGTTTGCTGGCCAGTTTATTAAATATATAGACGGAATTAGATCGTAATATTTGACATGGGGTCTTCCTATATGATACTGAAGAGGACTACATAGCTTTCTAAATATAAAAAATGTAGCGGAGTTGCCCTTTAACAGCTCCGCTGTGAAATTGCAGTTTTGATGTAATTTCCCCTCCTAAGGGCCGTGCAATGATATTGGGTGGGAATGTTTCTCACGTTACTCATGCTTCCTGACGCTTGTGAAACTCAGGTAAACTTGCACTCAGTGCCACTGATCAAGAAGCTTCTCTTTCCTTGCATTATTTGAAGGATAAAAGCGGACATTTTCTTTCAGTCTCCTCAAAATTTTATGGCAAAGTTGTGGGGATCGCGTTGTTGGCATTGTCAAAACAATGAAATCCCTAGGATTTCGTCATCAAACGTCGCGATTTACACGGTAACAATATTTAAATGCGGCTTTAGAGTAGGCACGAACACTCTGCGAGTATTCGATTTGGGTCCGTGGCAATTGACGCCTCGACATCCCCACGATAGGGCACCACCCCATCGCACCAATGGGGTTGTGCCCCATCGCTGCGATGATGGGAGTATCCGAACCTTAACAACGTGTGGACCTCATGCATGCCTCGTGCTTTGCCAACTCCAGCATGTGACTACAATACAACTTACAGAAGACACTTGAAACTGCCTACGTGTAGGAATGCAAAAGCATTCGTACATGCAGCCCATTCCTACAAACAACTCGCCCCGCTGTCCTTTGCAAAGACCGGCCGGGCCAATGCGGCCGCGCGTGCACCAGCCTCTCCCTTTTACCGGCGCGCTGGTCGCAGCGCCAGGAAGAGAGCTCCTCTAAGGGTGGCATTCCTTAGAATGATCACGCATCACAGCCAATGGGAATTTATTATTCATTCCGCTCAGCCGGAATAAGGTGCTGTTTTTTGCGGTTACAGACAACGCCGGTTACGCTCCATGGGACAGTCAATGCTGTCGCATTAAAATTGCTGGCATTTAACTGGCAATGGGTCACGTGGCCGCTCATTCTGGCTGCGAGTTGAGGGGATGAACGCCGCTCGTTCTTTATTTTTTTCGCGACTACTTTTGCGGGGGAAGAAGAATTGACGGGTGTTTCGTGGGCCACGAATGCAAAAGTAAAGTTACGGGCGGTACTTACCGAAAGTACAGCAATCGTTCCGTTGCCCCCCGGCGTGGCAGTTTCCGGGTTTGACCTCAAAACCCGTTGCGGACCTCTTGCAGACGCTGCACAAAGAGGAGCTCGGCGTGAGCGAGACGGAGAGGCGCCTGCTGGAGAGGATAGAGGGCCACGCCACGTCCCGGAGGAAGTCCCACCATGCCGCGGAGAAGAAGGGCAGCGCCTCCTCCAACGCCTCTGCCGCCTGCTCTGTGCCCGCCCCGTCGTCCGTCGGGGCGGCAGCCGCCTCCGCCTCCATGGCCAGGCCAAGCATCATCAGGGTGGTCACTTCGGACGGTCGACAGGTTGGCGGAGCGGATGATAATGATGATCGTAATTATTATTTTCGTGCGCCCAAAAACAACTAACAGGTCTTCACTTGGAGGGGCCTCCGACCAACCCCACCTAAAGCCGCGGTCACGCCGCTGATCCATCGTACAAAAGATGGTCTGCAGGCACTTTGTTTTGTTTCTTCCTTGTATTCATACTGTCCTGTCACCTTGGTCGTACAAAAACTCTTCAAACATGGCCGAAGAATGCACATGTATGAAGTAAACGTGCTTTGAACGTACTTGAAACACGTTCGAAGCATGTTTGAGACGAGCATAGTAGCAACGGGGGGAATGACTTCATAGACTTCCTCAAAACCTTCTATGATGAGGCACCGTGGTCTTCATAACTTGTCACTCGCAGCAGCAGCTCGGTCATTGACGCTTTTTTTTTCTTTGAGATTACACGGTGGAATTGCAGTATTTTGGGGTGCCAAGATAAACTATAAAAAACACGAGATTCAAGTTCTTTTGTGGTTAAAATCGTTGTGCTGCCCCTCTAAGCCCCGTTCGGCCTCGGGCTCATTGGGCATTTTTGCGGGCCCGCCTCCACCTCGGATCTTGCGTCGTGGCAGGCCGGGGGAGAGACGACTCCCTGACGGCCTCTCGTCCTCCTTGCGCAGGGTCAGCTGGAACTGGGTCCGGCTGGAACGACGCTCTCGGAGTTGGAAGCGTGGGTAGAGTCGGAGTTTGGGGTGCCGCCCCTGCGCCAGCAGCTCAAGAGCGGCGTCCCGCCCCGGGAGATTCGGGCACCCGAGGGCAGGGGAGGCCGTCTGGCACTCTCTCACGGGGACAGGGTCACCGTCGAGGTCCTGCGAGATCCGTGCTCGCCGGACCCCGGCACTTCGGGTGAGCTCTTGGCTGGTACCAGATTGGGCTGGATAGTGCTGGATATCCTCAGAGTGCACTGGATTGGGCAAGACAGCACTGTATGGTTGGATAGTGCTGAATCGGTCAGAATTGCAGTGGATGGTGAGACGCCTTGCTTTTCGTGACCAGGTGCTTCGGCCGCCCAAGCAATACTCGCAGGGACCGAAGACGATTACCTGAGGAGGCTGCAAGGTGTGTGGTCACTTCTCCTAAAAACGAAGCACAACTTTGGCTTGGTCTTTTATGTCCCAATGCTGGTAGATCTCTCAATCTTCTTCGGGACATGGGTAGCTTATGGTAGCACCCCACCAAACCTAGAAGTCGTTAACTAATTCCAGGATTGGTGTTGTAGAACGCATGCCATGTAACGCAAATTTCAAACTACTTAATTAAATTGCGTTCATTGTGTCTGCGCTTTTCTTCCGATCTGTAGGGTTGTGCGAATAGTAGATTTTGAGTTTGAATCGAATTCGAAGCGAATAGTGGTTTTGGTAGAATATTTTCGAATCGAATATCGAGTACTTGCCGTTCAAAAAACTTGGCCGTTTTTAGAGGGAAGTTTACAGAAATACTTCCAAACTGGACTCCTCACGCCGTCGTTTGTCCATCTTGCCAAACAACTTAGCTGCCGTCATTTTGACAATGTCGATGTCATCCACTCACCTTGTCACTGTAATAATATAACATTCCTTCGAAATATTATAGTTTAAATGTTTTAAAACCGTGTTTATGAATTTTATCGGAAATAAAAGTTTCTGAGCAATTATGCATGCTATGAGAAATTTCTAAAGGTATTTATTTTTATGCTAAACTTGTTCTTTTAAATTTGCGTCTGGACGTGGCGGTGGTGAGAAAAGAGTGCTGATTGTTGGGCAAGTTGGTATGGTACATAAGAAAACATGATTGCGCTTTGAAGACAGGGACATAGACAGAAGAGAACACAGAGCACTAACTTTCAACTGATTTAATTCAGATCCTCAGAGAAAAGAGTGCTGGCAACCAGGGAGCCAAGATTGACGAAAATAGCGCCGGCCATACCGGCGTCTCTGGAGTTCGTTGCTCGGTTTCTTTTGCCCGTTATTAAAAAAAGTTGATGAAATAATTACGATGAATATATTTCAAAGTTCCCATTATAGTATTTACACCATTTTGCCGAATGTGTGAGTATATTCTTGATTTTAGATATTGTTTCTTTCTGGTCTTTAGACAGTAAACAAACTTGCGACCGTGAGTTTGCGAACACTTCGAAAAGCACAAATATTACAACTGCTCTCGGAGCGAATATCATATAGGGTACTATTCGAAACTACTATTCGAATATTTGCACAACACTACCGATCTGCCATTGAAACATAGTGAAAGTTTTACTCAAAATTCAATAATTTCTTTAGGTGGTTTTGCTGTAACAGTAGTTGTGAATGCCACTAACTTTAAAGCACAACTTTGGGGGGTTGTGAGCCAAACAAACAATTACAAGCTCACCTACTCTACCTTATGCTTTTGTAGATATTGCTGCATGTACCTTTCTCAGCCCCATTCCCTGTATTAAGTCAACATTTTTGTAGTATACTGAGTGTCTCGTCCATTTTAGTTAACAAAAGAACTTTCAACCTTTCCACTCTGGTAGGGAAGGAAGACCAGCAAAGCTGTACTATGTTGGGAATTAAGTAATGGCCGGCAGCAAGCCGGCAAGCCAGAATGGAAAGGTTGCCGCCATCTATGAGCGACGGCAGCAATCAGCAAGCCAGTTGTCTGGTTTCTGCCGTCGCTCATAGATGGCGGTAGGTGTCCAAAGTGTTGTGTCGACATTTATTTGCTGGTGGACACGATTCTGGGGAAATTAGCCCTTAACAGCTCCGCTGTAAAATTGCAAACCAGCAAACCGCATCACCGGGGGTTTAGTGGTGGGTATACTGACCGGGCAGTGAAGTTTGATTGTACAAGTAGTGCCTTCTTACGCAGTATTCTCGCAGTTTTAACTTGCGACAGCGTGAAGCTGAGCTAGGTGGTTCATGCTTGTTAAGTGCCAGCTGAACGTCTGAACAAAAGGTAAGGGCACAAACGAGCTGGTGGTGGTTAAACATTTCGAAAAAACCCGAGACTGGGACAAAAAGGGACGGACAAACACAAAGTCTCAAACACAGCTGAATTTTATTTGACAACGAAGGGTGCTTATATAGGCGTCAAATCCTACACAAATCAAAAGAAACGAAGGAAAGAGAGGGAGAAACCTACACAACACAAAAGAGACAAAAGAAGGAAAGGGAGAATTGGGGAAACCCATGCCACAAGCAGTAAAACAAAAAAACAAGTATTACAAAAGAACTGAGAAGTGGTGAGATTGTTTATACAAAAGCAAAGTAGAAGGACTAAAGTGCATTGGTCGTTTATACAAAAACAAAGTAGAAGGACTGAAGTGCATTAGTCCCCAAGAAACCCCAACGCTACAACAGGAAGGACGCAATGAGCAAACGACCAGGAAACAATAAAGCGAAATGACTTAAAAATCGGACAAAGGCCTCAACACAACAATTGACAAGACGTGCAGACATCAAATTTGTAGGAACTTTCTTTGTTCTTTATCTATTGTGAGGGATGGCTTATTTACTGCATTTCCATGATTCGTGATTGCTATAGATTCTTTTATCAAACGCTTCCGATCATCCTTTTCTGATAAGATGACTGTTGTTGAGTCCCAGTTAGGTAAACAATTATTGCATTCAACTGGGACTCAACAACAGTTGAAGTCAAGGCGATGGTCCCCGTCTTTCGCAGTGTTTGCGACGTCAAACAGGCTTCTAGGATTGATCACCGCTGAACTGGTTAGATGGGTTAACCGAGCCGAGTGCCATGCGTGCGGTGCACCCGCATTCACCAGCACACCGACCCTGGGGCTGGACTTTTAACAACTGCCTCCCTATGGGCATTTCCTAGTAATTTTATAAGAAACGTCTGCGATTGGCCCGTTTGATCGCCACCAAACTGGTTCGCCGGTTAGGTCAATTAACCGAACCAAGTGCCACACGTGCGGTGCGCAGAGGTGCAGCAGGGATCGCTGGAGGCCGGAGTGCGCACTATGCTGAGTCACCTGAAGCGGAGCGGGCAGACGGTGTGGACGTACGCCCAGGAGAACCCCTGGCTCTTCTGCCGCGGTGGACTCTTCTACGCCCAGATGCAGCGGGACATCGGGCTCGTGGACGGCAAGCACTGCCACCTGCCGCTCATTCCCGACAAGGTACAGTTAAAGGAGCTGTGCAACGATATTCAGTTGGAATGTTTTTCTCTCTACACGAGCTTACTGGCACACCTGGGACTCAAGGATACTCACACGCAACGACACTGGCCAAGAAACTCCTTTGTTGCGGTGTAATTTCAAGGACAAAAGCGATCATTTTCATTCAATCTCTTCTTTGCAAAATTTGATGACGTAACTCGGGGATCGCAGTACACCCAAGTGACGATATTTGAATGCGGTTCATAGATTGGACCCGAGCATTGCGTGGGCACTCGACTTGGGCTCGTGACAATTGCTAGCTCCAGAAGCATTCGGGTTGTGACCCGTGTCCAATCGCTGCAACGACGACAACAGCCGAGCCATAACAATGTCTGGAACTCGGCGCGTGTCCTCCGCTTTGCCAACCCCAGCGCGTGGCTATGATCAACACTGGCGGCATATAATCGGCCCAGATCACATGGCCGCTTGTTCTGGCTGCGAGTTGAGGGGGTAAACGCTGCTTGTTTTTCTTTAATTTTTTTCTGGGACTTCTATTGCGTGGGGTGAAAAACGAACGCGTGTTTCATAGGCCATTAACATTAGGGATCCGTTTTAAGCGGTATTTGCGCAAAGTACAAAAATTGTTGCATTGCTCCTTTAACACGCTCGCGACTGCTTAGAACTGCATGCCTATGCATGCACATTCAGCTCGGCGCCATACTTTTCGTGTAGCTGCGCCGCTGCTACGGGAAGCGGGACGTAACGACGTTCGAAGTAGCTTTGGGAACGTCCACCGGGTCCAATTCAGCGACCGGTTTATTCGCTTTAAGAGGGGGCGCACCTCAGAGCCCCATAGAGAATACATGAGGTTTTTCACCAAATTGAAAAAATTCTCAGATAATAACGGCTGCACGGATCTTCTTGAAAATTTCGGCTTTAAAGACATTGAGTCATTATCGAGTCACTAAACGCAACAAATGTTTCATCATAAATTTAATTATATTCTTTAAAAAATCATGAAAATGGTCAAAATCGGCTAATTCGGCACTCTTGCGTTCGGAGCGAATTTACAAAATTATCTAAATTCAAACATAAGAAGTATTGCGTTTAATGTCTTCTAAATTTATTACGGAATCGAATAATATTCAAAATATTCATGTAAGTCGATTTGTTCCGTAACTACAGCAAATATAAAGAACCAAGGTGTCGGTGCTTGTTTTCGTCGTTTTTAAGGTACCTCTCTCTCCCGTGCGGTGGCGCTCGCTGTCCACGAAATGCGAAATCGTCCGTTCGGAGATCGGCCGGATCGGCACTGTGCGAGGTGTTCTTCCGCGGCCGTATTCCGCGCCCGTATCCTGTTTCATTCTGCACGCCGAGGCATCAGTGTGCGTGTCTTGCTTTCGTGGTTCTCGCTGGGTAGGTCTCCGTGTTTTCGCAAGTGGCAAATTCACCTTGGAGCTATGGGTCGAAGACAACCGTCCTGTGGCAAGCGGACCGCGAGGTGTTCCACAACCTCGCGGTCCGTCAACGCGTTGTGCTTGTTTCTACTTTTTTTTTTTTCTTTTAAAAACGGGCTCTTTTTTTTTTGACGCAAAGTTTTATTTTATCGTTATCCTTCACACAAACGTCCTTAGGCCTTGGGGTCGTGGAAATCGGGGATGAAGCGTGCACAGAGTAGATCGTTGTTTGCGTCCTTTTTATTTTTCACGGACGTCCTGTGACCTCCGTACGATTCGTGGTCACCGCAATCTAACGCGGGGAAAAACGGGTCGCCTGCTCTGTAGTCAGGGTATTCCTAGGGGCTGTTCTTCTGGAAATTCACATATCACCCAAAAAGGTAACATGGGTAATGATTACGGTATGTTTTTTCCGGTGTTTATTTTTGAGCGAAAATCGGTGCATGTTTTTCGGTGCTTATTTTTTAATCACCAGTGTATTATGGGTTGAACGTCTTGTGATGACGCTAAAAAGCGTTGATAACCAAAGAAAAATGCGATTGGACAAGAACATTTCAAATTTCCAATTCTATTCACATATCCATTACGCTCTTCTCGTGGGAGCATCCATCCTGACGAAAAATGCTTAAGTCATTGAGCTGTGAACGCATACTCAGTGTACAATCTTTCGGCCTAGAGAGGTATTGCGCACGCTCGAACGCGCTTCACAGCCCAGTAGACGAAGTTGGTGTCACCCAGAAGGCGAGTTTTTGAATGGTCTGTAGTAGGCAAAAGAAACAAATAACAATCAACGCATATCAGCTCTTCAAGCGAAGAGGCGCGTTTCTAAGGTCAATGGTTCCGGACGGCACTAATGTTGTTGGCGTTGTCGTAAGATGACGTCAGTTCATACGAACTGACGTCATCTTGCGTGATCACGTGACACAAACACGTCATCTTACATGATCTCGTTACACGAAATGACGTCATCTTGCGTGATCACGCTGCACGAAATGACGCCATCTTACGTGACCACGTATCACGTCATCTTGTAAGTCAACCTCTCCCCACAGCAGCGCTTTCCGGGCCCGTGCAGTGCTGTAGTCGAAATCAAGCTCCCTATGGCAAGCGAAAGCTTCTGAAGTCTCACATTGAGAATACTCGCAAGCGACCGTCTGTGGAAGCTTCGCACGTTGAGGTTTTTGGTGAGATCGAGCCATCGTGTTCCATTAACTATAGTTGAAGTTGTCATTCAATAAAGCCCTAAAAATATGAATGTAGTTGGTGTAGACATCAAGATCTAATCAAAAATGCGGTTTGACGTCGTTTAATTAACGTGTATATACAAGTGTAGAAAAAAATGAGTTATATGTGCATAGATGTTTAAAAAAGTGTTTATTATTCGACATAGCACTTTGGGAGAAGGATGTGTTCAGATTTTTCTTCATGGGCGCAAATATACCTGACGCAATAAATAGTGACGATTTCATCGTCCCAGTGATGAGCAGGTGATTTCTTGCTCGAAACAATGATGCCATTTCATAAACCAAGTTCTGTGACATATGCTTTTCCAATGTCTGGTCACTATTTTGTAAACCTTTCAGTCCAAACGAGTATAATTTTGTTTGTTTTTGTTAGCTTAGGAGGGGGTCACAGAGCCTATCTTTTTGTCTTCCTCTAGGACAGACGTACAGAGTTATACCGCAACACGCATCTGTGGAGCACACAGAGCTATCGCTCTCCTGTTGGCGGTACAGTAGCAGACGACACAACGCAGCTCCGTAGTCTATCGAGGGCACGGCTAGCCGCGGCCCGTAGCGCGACCGTTCAGACTAGGGAAATGGTTTTGAAGAACCGAGAAATGATATCTTGTATACAATAATCACATGTCGTTAGTATATTCTACTTGCTAAGCCAAATAAATATTTGCAGCTTGTGAGAATATGTTTGCGTGACGATTTACCGTTCACACCTCTGACGGATGTTAGCGAATCCTTCATGTTCGTGGCTCGCAGTTATCGGTACCCCCTCGGAGTGACTTCACCATATATATTTTTTTCTTGCTTGCAGGACATCATAAAAATCACAAACACGCGAGAAAAAAAAATCTTATGAGTACGCGTGATTTTGAGCTTCGCAGCTCTAAAGATGCCCGGTAAATGTCGTCCAGCTTGGGAAGAAACTAATCCTTTTTGTTGGAGTTCGACTATCGTATGCTGGCAGCTCGTTTCCGGTCGGTTTTGTCTATACTCCGTTTCACCATAATTTGGCAACCCTCAGTCAGAGCTGCTATGAGGGAATCACAGTCGCGGAGCAAAGCACGTGACAGCTACTTTTAGGGTTCCCGGACATTTCATCGAACGCCGTTTCGTCGAACGCCGTTTCATCGAAAAAATGGACGTTTCATCGAACGCCGTTTCGTCGAATTGCTGACGGCCGTTTCATTGAATGTTTTTTTATATAAAAAGTGTGAAAGATACTCTTTTATGCACGGATCGAGTGCATTTTTTGTGCCATTCACCCATTTCATCGTCAGGTTTTTTTATTGTCCAAACTCGTAGCTGTTAAAATTTATTTTCATGCAAGTAACCCATGGGGACATTTTTACCGATTTTTATGGTTGTTTCGCATATTGTGCTTATCTGTTCACCCCCTCTGTACTACCCGATGAGCCTTGAGGGTATTGTAACAAATAAATAAAAAGTCGCACTCTCGGTAAGAGCGCACTCCAACTCATGGAGGCCGGAAGCGACTTAGGTTTTGCGCAGGCGCAACAACTTTAGCCATGTGAGCCTCCTAGCCTCTCATGTCTTTATATTGATACTTTTTTACTGCCCGAAGCTTGCAGCAGCTAAAGCTGAGGTGCTATTTATGAAACTACAACGAAGCATTTTTTTTTTTTAGTTCTAAGACTCAATGAAGTCAAAAGTAAGTACGTCACTTCAAATGTTATTTGAAAACTTTCGGGGGCTCATATATTCGTGTGACAGCCATTCACCGTTTCAAAATTGCTCTCAAAAAGTCCCCCACAGCCATGCTCCGTCGGTTCTTTTAAAAAAGGCGGACCTTCCCTTTTCTTGCCGCTATGACCTTCTGGCGAGGAGGCTCTTGGGAACTCAGCATCGCCTCCAGCTTGTCTTCCATCAATTGATGTTCTGCGGCGATGCAAGTAAAAAACTTCCATAACCCGGGATGGGCACCTCCGACCAGCTTCAAGAAGCGGGAATGCCACCCTGGCGTTTGATAAGACGGCGTTCGATAAAACGGCGTTCGTTGAAACGGCTTCGATGAAGCGGTGTTCGATGAAACGGCGTTCGATGACACGGCATTCGATAAAACGGCTTCGATGAAACGGCGTTCGACAAAACGGCGTTCGATGAAATGTCCGGTCCCATACTTTTAGGACCAGTACTATGGCACCTGCAGCGCGTCTCCGACCGGTGTGTTTAGCGTCTTATGCTGGCCATACATCAAAAGTGGTCCCGAAGTGCAACAAATGACGTCACAGAAGACAGAGTGTCACGCTGTTGCATCTTGCGATCCTGGCAATTCATCGTAGAGATGCTGTCGAAAACCACGAGGGAA